GGTTCCAACCATAGCGACCCTGTCCAGGGTTTCCGAGGCTGTAAATCTTTACGGGAGCAGAAAGCCTCCTCTTTCTCCCGCGGAACCGCTGGTAGTAGCATATTATAGAAATTGCTATCGAATGGCCGGAATTTGAATTTAGAGTTTCTATACCTTCTGCCCTCCCAAATGGTCACCTAACATGCCTCCTGGGACACTCAGTCTCTTCTGGGTTCAATAGTCTGTTGCAGTGGCCACACAGAACTCAAGTCACCGCTGATGGGGTTTCTTAGGGGAGTTAACAGGTTACAATTTAGGAGCAAAAAATGCACCACAGGCACAGTTCTTCCAGTCAGGACAACCTCTCCTCAGCCGTGCTCACAGACAGACCTCTCTCTGCCGGGTAATGTCAAAAAAGCTCTCTTAGGGCTGCTGAGAAATACTCACAGGACACGCCACTCCACCGTAAGCCTCAGCCTGAAGGCACTCAACTCTACCTCCATGGCTCAAGCAAACCTGTCCCTTCGCCCAATTAAATGATTGGAGGTACGCTCCCCCTCTACCCCCACTTTGAAAGCAAGCCGCCTGCCCAAAGTCGCTCCGCTTTCTTGCCCTGTGGGCTGGGAAGCCCTCTGCCCTGTCCCATACTCTGGTGTCTCCGCTGTCTTTGCTTGGAGGAGGCTCAGTGTGCTGGAATTTCGGGTCCAAAGGATGTACTCCACTCCCGACTCTTCATGGCTGTGTTTTCTCCACTTCACTCAACAAGTGGACCCAGGTGGCGAACATACCAGGTGGTCTACCTGTTTGGTCCCTTTAACTTCCTGTCCTAGAATGTTTGTGTGTGTGTGTGTGTTTAATGAACACAGGTTGTTTGTTCCTCCGTGCATCCACCAGCAAATTGTTTGCTCAAACTTACTGTTCAGCAGTTCTAGGTGTGGCTCTGGTTCCCACCGAAGCCCTTAACTCTATAAAGGCTTAAAATACAAAGCCTGTTTCTTCTGGACAATTTCTAACTCCTCTTTTAGTATACCCGATCAAGTAT